ATAATGTTTGTTCATGGGATTGACATAACTAAGGGACCTAACAAAGAGTATTACAGTTAATGATTTAAAAAAGTATTACAATCACTACATGTCTCATCCAAAGAAAGAAAGTTTGAAACTTTAGAATATTACAATCATTGCATGTCTCATCCACCTATTACAATCACAGTATGTCTCATCCACATAAAGTATTACAATATGTGATTTTTAAAATATAAAAACAATTCAAACCACCAAAACTATGAACGGAGTAGTAGTAGAGATTGTATGGCTCTGTATTATTACATCTATATCTATTTTCGAAAATAAAAGCCAACCAGCATATATCATCTATTTTATTTATTATTTTTAGAGTTAGATTTAAAAACCAAAAAATATAGATAAATAATACATTTATTTTTTTCAATTCAAAAAATATATTCAAGTTGAAAACTCTTTTTCAATAGAATATATTCAATAGAATATTTAAAACTCTTTTTCAATTGAAAACACAAATAGAATATCTAAACAAATTGAAAACACAAAGTTTTACAAATTATTAGGGGTGCTTGTGGTTTGGCCGTTCGGTTGCCACCAAATGAACCTCAAATCCGTCATCCGTCCAAAACTAGGCGGATTGAAAAAAATCAATCCATAACTGTCCGCTCGTCATCACGCTACCGACTGCTTGTCATCACGCATTCATCCAAAATGCGATGAATCGGTTCGGTTCGGTTGGTTTTGATAGATCGATATATCCGCCGCTCACCCATAATATATAGATGGATTTTTGTTCACATTATAATAAAAGTAATGCTACACTTTATAAAATATATATATATATCAAAAAAGTATCATGAAAATTATTCACAATTAGATTAGTGTATGATGTTTTATAATAATAATAGTTTTATTTCCATTAGATCATAACCACAGCAGCCACCATTATGCTGGTGTGGTAGTGATGGTTGTGGTGGATGGCAGGAGAAAAAGATAAAAATAGAAGCATATGTGGTGGCAAGGTTCCTTGTCCGTGTTGGGTTATTTTTATTTTTATTTTTTGAACATAGCCACTGTTGGGGTTGTTGATCATGGAGTTGATGACTTGGCTCTTAACGAGTGGGAGTGGTGGATCAGGTAGGATTTTGCAAAATATTGCTTGATTTGTTAAAATTAACTAATTCGTACCAATTCATTTACTAATCGTGGGTTAAATTTTGAAATTTATAATCTGCCTTTGAAAATCGCTCTACTCCGTTATAGTTAATACATACATTTTTTTCAACTTCTAATAAAATATCAAAGTAAAAATGAGTGTGAGAGAAATTTAATATGTAAAATTTGTTACAAATTAGTAATTATATATATGAAAAGCATTATGTAAAACTAGTTTGTGCTATACATATGAAAAATATTATACAAATTAGTGTTATATATATTATACAAATGCTTGATAATTATTTTAGAATATTCTTCAATAAACTAGCAAATTAAAACCACTCCAAACCATCCAAACTGTGGTTTGTTTATTTGTCGATCCGCCATTCATGGTTGATTTGTAATTTTACTCTCAAACCATTTGAATCACACTGCTAGTAATCCCACTCAACTTAACTCAAAAACAAGGGATTGGCTTCTATCTAGCCCTAATCTGGACTAGAGAGGACTGTTTCGGCTTGTGGGGCCCACTGTTTCGACGATCTGTTCATTTTATCGGGCCCTGCATATATCATCCATAAAAAAATCAAAGCGATCCGATATTCGTAACCCTTCATTTTATAAAATTTGTATATAAAAAAATTAATGGTCAATGTGTTTTAAAAGTAGGCCAATATTTTTGTTTACAAATTTAAAAAAATTAAGAGGTTACGGACATTGGATCACCCTAATTTCTTTCATAAATAATACACATGCAAGATCTGATAAAATGAATGATTCAGATCGTCAAAATAGAACCCATAATAAATTCTACGGACCCGAACAGACCTCTCCAATCCATATTAGAATCAGAGAGAAGCTCCCCTCCCCAAGCTATAATAGTATAGATGAGATTGATGAAGGAGACTTGTGACTAGCTTGTGTTTGGTTCTAATTTTTTTAATTTAATTTTTTGAAAATTGAGATTTTTTTTTTTAGTGAATTTTTTTAATATTTAAAAAAAATGTTTTTTAAATACACTTAATATAAATATAATTAAAAAAATATAATATTTATTTAAAAAATCTTTAAAAAAATTACTAAATATCAAATATATAAAATAATATAAAAATTCAATATATATTTTTTTGTATTCTTGTATATTTATTGATTTTTTAAAATACTTTTTATAAATATTTTATTTTTTTATATACATTTAAGTTAGGTATATCTAAAAAGTAAAAAAAATTAATCATTAAAAACAAAAAAAATTAAAAATTAAATTTTAAAAAATTAAATTCAAAATATTATAATCAAGAATAATGCTAGAGATCCAAAAATTCTATCAAAATTTTTACCAAATATTTCACATAAATATAAAATCTACTTAAAACTCATATAATGTGAGTTTCACGCCCATATAAAATATTTAATAAAACTTTTGAATCCACCATTTTTCTATAATCAAACCAGGTGAGCAAATGTTATTTTGTTCGGTGAACCATTAAAAGGTGACCAACTAACTTTTACACATACTAAGATGACACGTCTTATTGACAAAAGTTAATCCACTTTCGTTGGGCTTTCCTTCTCTGATTCAATTTATTGGGCTTTCCTTGGACCGCCTTCGACCCCATTTCTCGAGGAGTTGCTAAACCTGTTTGGGAAGTAATATACTTTTCTTCTTCTTTTTTTTTAACTTTTTTATTGTTTGAGATAAAAAATTTAATATATTTGGAAAGATTTTTTAATTTTTTTTTTAAAAAAAAGACATATAAAAATATAGAGTGAATGGGAAAGAATATTCAACTTTTTTTTTGTTGTATGAATTAAATTTTTTCTGAGTTTCTAACTTTTATAGTAATTTTTTTACCAATATAACCACTCCAAAAAAAAAAAAAAAATTTGTCATCTGCCTTTCCTCCAAGTTTTTAGCATAAAAGTTTTCTCACAATTTTATTGTTTAATCCTATCAAAATCATTTCCTAGAAAAGGCATAGAATTTTAATATATATATATATATGCATATATAAGTAGAGCATTTATAATGAGAGCCCAATCAGTTCAAAGAAAACAAAGATGTGCCCATTACATTTGTTGAGTGGTAAAAAGATATGATAAGCTAATTCTCTTCATATATATCAACAAAAAGAGGTGAAAAAATAGAACATAACAACTCACATAGAACTCCATGTGTAGTTAGCCGCTTTTCGGGGTCTTTAACATGCATTTTCCTGACTAAATCTTTTGCACTTTCAGAGATACCTCTTCAAATATTTCATGTTCAGTTTTTGTATCAAAATCGAAAAGAAACACACACACACACACACACACATGTATATATATATATATATGTAAAATGAATATGAATGTAATAAGCAAATAGCAAAATGAAAGAAAGAAAGAAGGGAAAGACAAGAAAGGAAAATTATGGCACTTGTTAAGTCTGATAATGAAAAAATCTTACCTGCCCAAAATGGAGAGGAGAATGTAAATCATCACACAAGTGCTCCAAACATCTGCTTTTGAACTATAACGCTTATTCAGAACTTCAGGTGCAACATAGTATGGGCTTCCAACCACATCATGGAAAATTTCCCCTGTAATTTAAATTTATTAAAAAAAACTAGTATGTATTTTGCTAAGACAACTGATAAAGTAGAGCATGTAATACAAATTCTAACAATACCCAAAATGAAAAAAATAATGAGAGGAAAAGTTTCCTTTCAAAAGATTTTGATAAGTTTCCTTTACCAACAATTTTTTTTCCCTATCATGTTATCATAATCTAATTATATCATTGAAACACAATTTCAATTTAGTTGCTAGATATAGTTATCATATAAATAATTTGCAGTCAAGAACTATTCATTCGTTTCTACTTCCTTAGGGCTCACAAAGTAGCATCTATATTTTTGTCAAAAAATATGGGAACCTTGAATTAATAACCGAATCTTTCCAGAATTGATTATATTCATTTGTTGATGTAAAGACACATTAAATCAACATGCATACCTACTTCAGCAAGAATCCAAATACAATTCACTTCGTCATCATTTTAGAAATTTGTGCTAGTGGACATAGACAAGACAAACAAATCACATAGTTAACTTGAAAATGACCAGCCTTCCTACATTTCCAACATCCCTCAGAGCTATTCCTTCTCAGAACAAACTAACAAAGGACCTATGGGGAGCTTTCTCATCCTCTTGGTCAAAGATTATCCGTCCACCAGCAAATACTTGAGCTGCCAATAAAGAGGATTGTTTAGCTCAAGTGCTCAACCAACAGCTAAAGCCATAAGTAAAAATTTTCAAAACTTACATCCCCCAAACAATCACACCTGCTCAATAATCCTAGTCATTGTGTCAAAATAGCTTGAACCACTTTAGGTGAAAAGCCTTGTGATATGATTTCCCCTTCATCCATATGACACCTCATTACTAGAATGAAATACTATAACTCTTATAAACAATTACAACCCACCAAAGATGCCAATGCTACTAATTTATCAGCAAAATCAAGTTTTTGAACCATACAAAATCACTCAACCCTATGAGCTCCACCATAATCAAATACTAGAATCAACTTCAATGTACAACAACAGAATATGCATTTAATATGAAACTAGACGGGATTATCCTTGGTTTCACTTTGTCATAGATATATGTTTGCCACTTTCAGCACATACAATCTCAATTTAAGGGTAAGGCTGACTTCAATATGATAGAAGTTAAAATATCAGAAGATAATAGAGTGTTAAGGTTATGAAAAAACATACCTAGCTTCTATTACACCAACTATAGTCCTAGCAAGCTCGGCTGCCTTTCTCTCTGTGTAATGCACTCGCTTGACAATCCTATCAAAGAGCTCATCACCTGTACACAATTCCATCACAACATGAACTGCCATAGCATCCTCGTAAGCTCATTTGATTGAGATAACATTGGGGTGCCTATACAAGTGATGCATGATTTCGATTTCTTTCCTCACATCATCCACATTATCCTTTGTCAGTAACTTCCTTTTTGCAATGAATTTGCAAGCATATTTCTTCCTTGTTTCTTTCTCCACACAGAGAAATGTAGTCCCAAATTGCCCGTGTTCTAGTTTTTGTCCTAAATTGTAAAATTCCTTCAGATGACCTGCTTTTGTTTTCAACAGAGACTCTGCCTGCAACTCTACACTCGACATCCTCTTGACATTGTGTGCCCTTCTAGGCCTTGTGGGTTGTGCTGGTTTGGTCTCTTCCTTTTTCGTTTTCACCGACTCTGGAATTGTGGGTTTTGCTGGTTTGATCTCTTCCGTCACTATCTTCACTAGTTTTGATATTATGAGTTCTTCTTGTTTAGTCTCTTCTTTAACTATCTTCATCAATTCTTGGGGCCTGTTTTGGACAGATTGAGAACCATCAGGGTCTTTAGCTAACGAAGGCACCTCACTACTAGTAATTTCTCTCTTGGTATAGGGAATCAAAAATGGACTAAACATGCTCCAATAGAAATCCGTATAAATTCTTCCATAAGGTCTCTATTCTCTCATTAGTCCCAATTCCATCTGCAACCAAGTCATCCAACCATTGATTAAACCTTTCAAGTTGCCTAATGAAACTTGCAATTTCAGAGTCTAGATAAAGGGAGTATGATCTTATGCAGTCAATTTCATAGTTTTTTTTTTGATAATATATAATATAGTTATGATTATATAAATTGTTGATAAAAGGTGATGGTGTCTAGTATGATCAGTTTCAAAGATATAAGAGAATGACACTTAACACAAAATAAAGAGTAGCTTTGGAGTTGCTCTAAGACTTAGAACCACATTTTCTGATATATAGTCATGGGAAATGCAGTTTATTTATTAGAACTTCAATTGCAAAACAGAAAGTGTCACAAACAATCACACAATAATACAAAATGGGCAAATAGAACAACAATTATCACTTACAGAGGGAATTTGCAAAACGCTAACCATTCTCAATGCTCTCTCCATCAACACTATCAGCACCAATGCCGCTAGAACTGAAAATCAAATCTCCAAATAGGGATCCGCAAAGGAGGAATCTGGAAAATACACAAACACAAACTTAGCATTAGCAACATCGAACGAGAAGAACTCACTTTACAATTGAAATTAAAAAGTAATAACAATTAATTTCAAGATTGTTACGATTGTGACCTTGCGAATCTTAGGAATGTTTTGATCAGAGATAACGAGCAAATCCGAGAAAATCACCATAAATTGGGATCAAATCAAAGAAAAACAAAATTCATGATGAGCAAGAACACAGAAAAACAACTCTCACATCAAGTATACATGATTTAAGCTCTAATCATAGAAAAACTCGAAACTAGGGTTTCAATTTCCAAAATTTAAATTGATGAAGAAGAGAGAATAGATATAGAAATTACCTTGAGAATACGAAGGTCGAGACTTCGCAAGTGTCTTCAATGGGAGAGGGATCAAGAGAGAGAGAGAAAGAGAGAGAGAGCAAGAATTGGAGAGAGAAAGAACGAACCTGAATCTAGAGCAAAAGAGACCCAATCAACAACGGAGACGGAGATGGAGCACTGTCTAAATAGTCGATTTGTTGTGTTTGTAGTATATGAGAGAGGAGACCTAACTAACTATCACTGTGTCTAAATAGGGACCTCGACCTTGACCTTGACCTCTTCGACTGTGTCTCCATTCTTAACCTCCTCCTCCTCTTCTTCTTCTTCAGCTTCTAAGTCATCGTTGTTGTCCTCTTCTTCTACATCTTGTTCTTTGTCTAAAAAGAATACACTAAACCATAAAATCCCATTGGGTGCAATTATCCCATAAAAGAATACACTAAACTATAAAAGTAATGTATAAATTATTTTTTATGTTGTCCTTAATTAGGAAAATTTAAGATGAGAAGCTTGATTGGAAATTGCTAGTTTTTTTAAATTAAAAACAAATAATCGGATTGAAATTTTTTTTAATAAAAGTTTTCACGACATGCTAATGCATGCCGTGTAAAGTTATAATGTTTTACGACATGAAATGTATGTCGTCTTAAGTGTAAATATTTTACAACATATTTTTGTATGCTGTGAAAATACATATTTTTTATGGCATGTTTTTGCATGCCATAAAAAATCAGATTATTTTTTTTTATAAGCCGTGAAAATATACATTTTTTATGGCATACTTTTGCATGTCATAAAAAAATTGAATTGATTTTTTTTTTTATAGAAGTTTTCACGACATGTTAATGCAAGCCATATAAAGTTATAATATTTTACAACATGAAATGTATGTCGTCTTAAGTGCAAATATTTACGATATATTTTTGTAAGTCGTGAAAATATATATATTTTACGGCATACTATTGTAAGCCATAACTATATGAATTAATGACTTACATGGTATGTATGTCCTTATTGAAAAAATGTTAACAACTTGCAAAAAAAAAAAAATAAAAAAAAATTATAAAATGTACTAATTACAACATGCATTTGATGAATGTTATAAACTTAAAGTTGTAAATAGTTAGTTTTGTTGTAGTGCCTGTGGTTTGGAAAATTACAAATACCTCCCTGTTCGAATTTTTTATTTAACATAATTAATTGAAAAAGTGAAATTTCTAACTGTTCACCTATATAATAAAAAAATTATCTGAATTATTAATTGAAATAAAATTTTAACATTATTAAAAACTGTTAATTAACTTGATGATTTATTAATAAATGGACCTATTTGTTATGAAATTAGAAACCATAGGGGGCATAATGTAATTTCTAGAACTACAGGGGTAATTTGTAATTTAACTAAACCTCAAGGGGTGTGTTTATAATTTTTCCAAAATTTTATTATGTATTAGATTGGTTTAGAGAATTCTAAAATATATTGAAAGAATTAGAGTATCTTTGAATATTGTAAAAGCCTAATAATGGCCTTTAGATCAAATTGATCCTAGTTACCCATTGAAGATATAGATGGCTATATAAAGGCAAGAGACCTCATAAGTGTAAGTGATTCTAACTAAAGTGTCCTAAAGTGCTTTTGTTATGTACTTTCGTTTAGTGTGAATAAAAATGTCATATTTTTGTGTGTTTTTATAGCGATCCCAATTTTAACCCAACCCTTGTTGTATCCTGGGCTCGAGTTTCATGATTCTATATTATTGTTCGTTTCTCTTTTTCCCTTATTCCTCATTGAAATTGAGTTTTGGAGTGCCTTGGTTGTGTTTGGAATAAGTTGGTTGCTAGTTGGTTCAAATTGTTGTTGTCCAGTTTTTAGCCTTTTCACTCAAGCGAAGCTTCTTGTGCCCAGGCAAGCCTTGCGAGCTCCCAGTACTTTTGCAAGCTTGCAAATATACTGGAATGGTATTATTCTTCGCTCGAGTGAAGACTCTTGCACTCGAACGACGGTCTTCTATTTATAAAACTTCTAGGAGTGTGTATTATGCGCTCGAGCGAGGTGACTTATTTGTGTCTGGTCGCTCGAGTGACAACTCTTGCGCTTACTCATCGAGCGAGCTGCGTGTATATCAGTTCGTAGTAACACCTTTTTACTTCACTTTTTCATACATTTTGTTCCAATAACCTTAGATCAGGACCTCCTCTCTCTAAAACTCTCTCTCTCTCTCTCTCTCTCTCTCTCTACATTTTTCACCTAGATCTAGTGGGTTCTCTACCCGTGTCCCTTTGTTAAAAAGGTAGTACTTCTCAAGAGCTCCCTTTTGATCCGATTAAAGCTTGGTTTCGGCGTTCTTGAAGCTCCTCCATTTCTTCCTTTGGTCTTCTAAGCTTGAGGTAAAGATTTTCTATACTTTCATATGTATTTTAACTTATTTATGAGTTTGTGTAACAATAGTGGAATTTGGGTGTACTATGAACACACCTAGGGTTTGGGTATTAAATCAAAAAGGGGGGGGGTTTCTAAGTGAATGAGTTATGAATGGTTATGGGGTTGAATGTGACGTTATATTGTGACAAAATAATTGATTTTGACATTTGAGTTGATAAATAGGAAATAGGGAGTTTGCCCTAAGATGCTTCAAATATTTATTTCATATAAATAAATAGAATTCGTATTGAAAATGTGAAATTGAATGGATGTTGACATAAATGGTGAAGAAGAATATGTATTATCACTCACCTATGAAATTTTGAATAAATTATTTGTTTTGAGATTGAATATCTATTAGAAATACCTGTATTGGGCTATCGGTAGAAGATAGCTATGATTGTTGTAAAAATTACATGAGGATTAGGTGAATTGAAACTAATCTCTTGTTGGTTGTCATTGAATATGGCTGTGTTTTAAATACATTGTATATGTATGATGTTTGGGAGGAGAAAGGGGATGGACTCCATTGAATTAAGTTGACATGTGTGTCCACGGTGAAAGTCCCGAAACCGCGGTTACGTTTGAATGACGTTAATGATTGAAGTATTAACAATATTATGAGTTGTAGTCTCATTTTGAAGTGTTAATGACTGAAGTGTTAATACTATGAGTTGAGATCTCATTATGATTTGATTGGGATAAATAAATGGAAATGGATTGAAACATGGTTGTAAGTGTTGATTGGTCTTGGAAGACATGTACGTTGTTTTATAGGTGTTAACTATTTGTCAAATGTTAATGTTTTAGTTATTTCTCATATTTGGTTTAGTATATCTCTGCTAGGCTTTGGCTCACCCTATTTGGGACACCATTTTCAACTA